GAGTCCGATCCCACCCTGCAGCCCTGGGCCAAGCACGCCACTGCTCATCCATGGCACTGTGGGCAGAGAGGACCTCTGGATTGTGGCACAGGGAAAACTCCCCACACATGAGCTCCAGTTACAACTGACCGACCCATGACAGCCAAGGCTTGGTACTCCAAACCTAAAGTCTCTGGCAGGCAATGCATGAAGCACTGGATGACTTCCCTTTCCACATCAACAGCATCAGTGTGATGGTTTGGCTCCAAGGTGCTACATAATCATGAATTATCTTCAGAACTGGAAAAGAAAGGCCATGTTATGTGCACTGTGGTTTTAGTTTTAAGTGTGTCTTGCTTAATATTTTTAATATGAGTCAGCTCCATGAACTGTGATGATTTTCAAGTAACCAGAAGTTGACTGTAGCTGGCTTTAGACAGGAAGTATGAGTACAGAATCCAGCTGCTTCCACCCTTGGGGCAAGCTTGAGGCTGTGGTCCTGGATTTTTTTGGCCTGTGGCCTCAGTCTGTGGATTCACACGCAGAACTTTCCTGGTTCCTGTTTCTCCTGGCTCTCCTCTCTTGATGAGGGTGCAGAGCTCTCCTTCTCCCCTGCCTCTCCATGATTCATCTTTGAAGAAGCTACTCTGCTTGACACTCCTGCCTAGGAATCTTGGACCTCAAGTGAGTCCAGTAACCAGCTATCCTTCCTCTCACCCAGGGTGTGTGTGTGTGTGTGTGTGTGTGTGTGTATGTTGGGAGGCACAGGTGGTTACAGAAAGTTAGTATCATGCAGTTGGGCTGGATGAGATGGAAGCTGTTCTTACTATAAGGATATTGCTGACAACAGCAATGATGGTGATGTGGTGATATTGATATGGTGATGATGGTGATGGTGGTGGAGGTGGTGGAGGTAGTGATGATTGTGATAATGATGATGGAGGTGGTGGTGGTGATGTTGATATGGTGATGATGGTGGCGGCGATGATTGTGATGATGACAGTGATGATGGAGGTGGTGGTGGAGGTGGTGGAAGTAGTCATGATTGTGATAATGATGATGGAGGTGTGTGAGTGAGGTGTGGTGTGGGGTGGTGGTGGAGGTGTGGAGGAGGTGATTGTGATAATGATGATGGAGGTGGTGGTGGTGGTGATGTTGATATGGTGATGATGGTGGTGGTGATGATTGTGATCATGACAGTGATGATGGAGGTGGTGGTGGTGATGTTGATATGGTGATGATGGTGGTGGTGATGATTGTGATGATGATGGTGGTGGTGATGATTGTGATGATGATGGTGATGATGGAGGTGGTGGTGGAGGTGGTAGAGGTAGTGATGATTGTGATAATGATGATGGAGGTGGTGGTGGTGATGTTGATATGGTGATGGTGGTGGTGGTGGTGGTGGTGGAGGTGGTGGAGGAGGTGGTAGAGGTGGTGGTGATGATTGTGATAATGATGGTTATGGTGATGGTGGAGGTGGTGATGATTGTGATGATGAAGGAGGTGGTGGTGATGATGACTGTGATGATGATGGAGGTGGTGGTGGTGATGATTGTGATGATGGAGGTGGTGGTGATTGTGATGATGATGGAGGTGGTGGTGATGATGATTATGATGATGGAGGTTGTGGTGGTGGTGATGATTGTGATGATGGAGGTGGTGGTGATTGTGATGATGATGGAGGTGGTGGTGGTGATGATTGTGATGATGGAGGTGGTGGTGATTGTGATGATGATGGAGGTGGTGGTGATGATTGTGATGATGGAGGTGGTGGTGATTGTGATGATGATGGAGGTGGTGGTGGTGGTGATGATGATTGTGATGATGGAGGTGGTGGTGGTGGTGATGATTGTGATGATGGTGGTGATGATAATGATGGTGATGTTGATAGAGGTGGTGGTGGTGATTTGATATGGTGGTGGTGGTGATGGTGGAAATGGAGGTGGTGGTGGTGGTGGTGATGATTGTGGTGATGATGATGGTGATGATGATGGAGGTGGTGGTGATGATGATAATGGTGATGATAGTGATGGAGGTGGTGGTGATGAAGGTGATGGTGATGGTGACTGGTATGATGATGTGATAGGGATGGCTGCCCTGATGTCTAGGACCCGGTTTTTCACAGAGAGAGCCACAAAATACTCCTAACCAGTACCTGTCTCACAAAGGCAGGGTATGCTATGGAATTGATGACACAAAAGGCTCTCATGTCGGGCATGAGAGCTGATTCTTATGGATGCTAGTGGGCCAGAGCCCAGGGGGAGGTACAAAGAGATCTGTCATATTTCTGAGGCAGTGAATGTATACTTCACAGTTATTGAATCTCCCGTAACTCATGTGCTAAGCTATCATCACTGATCTTTAGACAAACCCACAAGGCCGGAACTATTACCATTCAGACTTCACCATGAAGAAAGTGGGACTCCAAGAAGTTAAATAACTCGCTCAGCATGAGGGTGATCTCACCACATGGTAGCCAGAGGTGGAGACACCTGTCGGATACCAGGGAAACCTGCCAGCAGGAAGTCGGGAGAGCCCAGGTCAGGTGCTGGCAAGGGTGGAGTAAAACAGAGCCAGCAAGCCACAAGCCAGTCCCCTGGCTGAGGGCACCTAACAACAGGGCTCTGGGCAACTTCCAAATATCACCAGGCTGTCAGCGTTTCCGTTTTGCAGAGATGCTGTGTTAAGTACCTGCTCAGTTTCTCTGGGAGAATCCTTCCCTCCTCCCTTCCTGCCCCTCTGCACTCAGAATCGGCTCAGTAGTCGGAACCATGACAAAGCAGATTATATTAATAAATGTTCTGCTTTCAGACATGATCGTGGCCTTATTTATGGCCTTTTTAAATAACTCTCCTGATTACAAAAGTGATAACATCAGTTTACCGCAGGCCCCTTTCTCATGGCTAAGAGGCCAGTCAACTCCCAGCCTCTAAACAATGGCCCAAATTCTACATGAAAGGAGGCACTCAATGTCTAGGATAAAATCAGCCACCTCAAGCCACTGCCCCACAGCACTTGTCCGAGAGAATCTGAAGACAGGGGACCTGGCTACCAAAATGCACCTAACAGCGGCGGTCTCTGAACTGGGGACAAGAGGAAGTGCCTGTGTGGGAAGTGCTGAGGCACCATCTCAGGAGGGCGGCCCCTGGGCCTCCTCTCCCATGAAAATGACCTTTCTCTGGGTACTTCTGAGGACTCTTCACCAAGAGAGAGGCCAGGCTGGTCTCCCACTTCGGAAATCCATGGAGTCCACCTTGCTGAGGCCCTGAGTTGACACAGGCATGGCCATAACCCTCAGGGTTTGGAACAACCACTGGCTACACTAGGATGGCAGGATTCTGCTTGAAAAGTAGAAAAGTCATGGCGCCAACTCAGAGGCTGAAAGCCCAAGGCGTTCAGAGACTAGCAGCTGGTAGAGCTCATGTTGCCAGGACTCCGGTATGCTCTCTGCAGATGCCAACTCCCTGAGTCTCCCTGCAGTCCTCTGAGGCAGGCACGTCCACAGTCAACTGAGCAAAAACACCCGATCCTGGGCATGTCTGACCCAACTTGATGGGGGGGTGTTCACACAGGACCGCACTTGGCCCTCCGAGCTGCCTGCCTGCAGCACCCCCAGCTGTGTGGTCGCATCTTATTTTTGATTTCCCTAATGCTCCTCTCACTTTATAGACACGAGGAAGGTCTGAGGAAGGTAAGCCCGCTCTGAGTTTGAGTGGACACTCCTCCCACCCTATGGGCACGTGCAGAATGCCAGCTCAAGCCCCGAGCGCCTCTCCCACTCGGCCCCTCCGTGGATGTAACATCACAGGACACCAGATGCAGCTTCAGCCCTGAGCCACCCCGGCCCATCCTAAACTCTGTACTTTTATCTAACAAACTGTGTGCTCCATCTAAACATCACCACATCAGCTGAAGGGTACGGGGACCCTTTGGCAAAGAGGCCTTTCAGTGGCACACAGAGGAACTGGGACCAAAGCTGGGAAGGAGGCACCAGCCGGGGGAAGCGTCCTTAGTTGGTTTTAACCAAAGAAACCAATCCTCTTAGAGGGGCAGCCAGCCAGCGTGCTGTGCTGGGGGCTGGCTGAGCCTTCTCTTAGCTGCTCCAATTTTAGAAATTGGGCGCTGACTCATTATTAACCCAGGAAGCCCACGCACTCAAATGACTGTACTGAAAAAGCTCTGTCATACTCTGCTTACTGATGTGCAGCTTTTTAAGCAAATTCAAAAAATGTTTATCACTAGGTCTTTATGACATTTTAACGTTTCATTTACAGTAACTAGAACGTTTTAAAATATATACTTCCTGTATTTTACTTGACAGTAAAGCAAAGCCTGACCAGAACAGTAACAGTTTGAGAAACATGTACCAAGGTCACCTCAGGCCTCCGCAGCTCAGCCACCTGGTCCTCATCCCTGCTCCCGCCCCCTCCCCCCCACATTTTTTCTGTCTGATTCTACCACAGCTTGTGACATTCAGAGTTAAGGGAAAGGAAAACACATTCAGTAAGCTCCTGGAGTCATTCACATGCCTTTAGAGAGGGAAGCTGAAAGTCTGCCTCTCCATTGTATTTCTGCTGTAAAACCGGGCAGCTCGGACCATGTGGGCACAAAGCACTGGGGGCTGCTTCCTCCAGCTCTAGAGGCGGAAGGAAGAAGCCCGGCCTCAGCAGCCCCGGGCCAGCGCAGGTCCCCACCTCCACCTCGGAGCTTCCCTGTGGCTCCAGACAGGAGAACCCAGCAGCGTCCTCTCCAGACAAGCAGCACTGCCTCTTCCAAGACAACGCACTACACGGCGAGCATCTACATTCTCACGATGACCAATTCAGAAACTTCCCCAGACATTCAGGCCAAAATACAGCAGCAATGGGGGTGGGGACAGAGGCAGCACCTCTCTAAAACCATGCTCCCCAAAGTCTGAGCAAAACACAGTGTTCACTCCAGGCACAACAGCTTCAACACAACGGAGACTCTTTGGCCAACTGCAGACATAATCGTAAAAATGACAGAAGCATACTCACCGGGGAGAAGCTGACGCTCCACCTTCCCAGGAACAGCGCTGCGACACTCTGGAGACAGACACTGGCTCAGGCACGGCCTGCCTGGAATGCGTTTGGAACTTAAAAAAGCTACGACCATACAGTCACTTATTTCCGTCCATTCCCAATGATGTCTGTACCATTGAGATGAAAAAAAAAAGGAAGAAAGAAAGAAAAGAGGCACACACCTCAGTCTTCATTCTCATTGGAACGAGATGACTCATGCTGACTCACAGCCACCACTTCCTCTCCCGACATTCTCTTCATTCTTGTGAGCTGGCTGGCGGTTCCCATGGTCTGTGCAGCCCTTCCTGGAAGGACAGCCTTCCTGGCGCTGGCAGTGAGACCCGCAGCCTCACATGTGGCCCCAGGGGAGAGGTTTTATTTGGGACAGTTGAGAACAACTGAAAAATAACATTGCGAAATCTCATGTGCATTTGAATTTCAAACACGCGCTGAAATTTGGTAATGTATCACAAAGCTCATATGAAACTCTCGTACCTCTCAAGGCATTACAGGGGAGGGAAAGGAATGGAATAGTGTCTTACTCTTTAAGAAGGTTGGATTTGCTTTGCCCTGGTAACACTTATATCAGCCCATGTTTTCTTCTGCTTGTCCTTCTCCTGTGACACAATAAATCATAGAATCTAAAAATGACGATCTCTTCAAAGCTGCTTCAACTGATGGCTGTTGGTGCCAATTCAAAGCCAATGGGAATTTCAATTTGGGATGCAGCGAAGAAGGAAGTTTATTCAATGCAAACATGTCAGTTGTGATATAGCACGGCTCTGGAACAGCTCAATCACATTACAGTTCAGGTATGAAGCAGCACAGCCATGAGGTGGCCCTTAGGGGAGCCGGCCCTTGGGCCAGGTTGCTTTCTTGTGCTTGGTCCTCTATACGGAAACAGTCTTCGGTCTTCGGTGGAAGGGAAAAGTGTGCTGTCTGATCCAGAGCACAGCTGACTCGTGTAGAGAGAAGTCCCCACTCCTGGTCTCTGATTAGTCTGCCTAATGCAAATGAGGGTTTCAGAGTTTGGTCCACAAAGCTCCATCCTGATTGGTTGGAACAGAGCAGCTCTAACTGGTCAGTGAAGATGCTGATAGGGATATGGATGCACAGATCCAATTGGATGGGGAAAGTCTCAGCCCTATTGGTTGAAATAAGATTCCAAAAACTCTTTTGTAAGAGCTGGCTCAGAGGACAGGAGCATAGTGCAGGCAGGCAGCTCTGTGCAGGCTTCTCTCTGAAGTGTGCTTTGCATGAAAGGGCCCTGTGTAGAAATGGCTGCTAGGCTGTTTTTGAACTGAGCCCAGTTAGCCACCAGCAGCCCTTTGTTGTAGGTATTGGGGTTGACAGCTATTTATTAGAGGGGCATGTGCCCTTTTGCCAGGACTAAATGCCTTACAAAATATTTTCCATCCATCTTTTAGGCTTCTAGAATGTCAGATTTGAATATTAAAAGGTATAACAATCAATCTTTTAAACATGGTTGGTGAATATTTACATGCAAACAGAATAGCCACTGCCTCCCAGTTTTCTGTGGAAGGGTCCCAGATGGGGCAGCCTCCCACACTTCCTGCATTTTTAAGTGATGAGGAGCATCCCTGGATGCTCAGCAACCTTAGAGAAGCCAGGAAGGCAGCTGTGCTTGCATCGGGCCCACCAAGGTTTCTGGAGGGATGTTGGTGTGGGCGAGCCTCCCGTGAGCCTCCCGGCTGAGCGCCTGCTGCTGCGGGGTCGTGCTCTGACAGGGGACAGGAGATCAGGCACACACGTGTGCGTGCAGCTGTCCTGCCCCTGGGGTGGTCACCAGACCCGGTTTTCACTTACAGTGGGGTCCACTGTCAGTAAAAATACTTGTTTACTATTCTGTATCTCAGTTCTTGCAACGAGAACTTTCAGGGCATTTGCTGAAAGATAATAAGTACCAAGTGCTTTGAGTCCCCTGAGAAAGTTGTACTGTGTCAATCCAACGGCCAAATGTTATTTCTTGCAGTTTGGGTTTTTGTGTTTTGTTTTTTTCAGTAGAGTGGAAAACCTATTGGTTTTCTGCAATCTAGACACATCTTTGCTGTGCAATTCATTGCGATGTGTTTTCTTTAGGGACGACGTGTGGGGGCAGGGACCGGCCAGCAGCCCCAGAGCCACCCTGGGGGCCGAGAGTCCTCCAGCAGCAGCAGGAGGGGGGGGGGGTCCTGCGGCGCCGTGGGAGGCCTGCGTGGTGCCAGGGGCCCGCTATGTGGAAAGTCAGCCTTTATTCATGAAGACTGGAGTTATCCATTTATTAATCTCTGGAGGAACTGAAAAAAACATTTGTTTAAAAAACCACTAGGAATGAATTTTTAAAATTTGAAAGAGTTGGGGAATGTTGGCTCCGAATGGCAGCCACGCCCTCCTGCTGGAAGCGCCCTGCCGACCGCGGTTTCTTCCATGGCAACGCCGTCACCACAAGTTTTCCAGAACATTCCAGGGCGAGGCCCGCGGCGTGACACTGGGCCTCCTCCCGTGGGTGCGATTGGAGCCGCCACCACAGAGGGTCCGTGGATCCGAGGGCCCCGCACGGCGTCCCGCAGAAATGCTGTGTCCTGGTCCGGCTGTCTGCGTCTGCACGGAGCTGCTCTCTGGGGCGCGAAGTGCGGGAGGGCGTGAGTATGACCAGGAGGAGGTTGGTCCTGATACAGTTACAGCCCCCGGACTTGACATGGAATATTCTAGAGTACATTCGCTTTAAGCTGGCTCATTTCCGCATGTTCCACCTGAAAGGAAATAGTAGTAGCATTTTAAACATGGAGACACTTTATAAGCATACAGTCTCTTTTGCCAATGGAAAAAAAAATGTAGGTTTCGTTGCATTAAGAAAATAAACAAGTTTCACTCTTAAAGGCAGTGCAGTCTGAAGACAGCATGCTCTAGCATGTCCTAGGTTCTTGTACACATGGATGGGCCACGTTTAAGAGTATTTAGCCCTGGTTGGGTGGCTCAGTTGGTTGAAGCATCATCCTGTACACCAAAAGGTTGCAGGTCTCATCCCCCGTTGGGGCACTTAGGTGGGTCGTGGGTTCGAGTCCTGACCGGGGTGCATGTACAGGCGGCAACAGATTGATGTTTCTCTCTCTCCTCTTTCTTTCTTTCACTCTCATATCAACAAACACATCCTTGGGTGAGGATAAAAAATTGTTTACAGAGTATTTCATAGGTACCAGTGAGCCTCTTAAACATGCACAGACTCCTAAACCTGTTATCCTCAAAATAGCCCTGTGAGGAAAGTGTGACGTCATCCCACTTTCCAGCAAAGAAAGCAGGGCACAGAGACGGCCGGGGCCTGACGGAGGTTGCAGAGCCTGCGAGGTGTCTCCAGGCTGCGAGGTGTCAGAGCCTACCTTCCAAACCACCACATTCCAAATCCACCAGGAAACCACGTGAGTCCTTACAAAGGACTTTTCAAAATCTTTGCACTCACATTCCCTTACTTCACAATGCCTCATTCCAAATTCTTCAAGCGTGTGTAACGTGGAAGTACTTCCTATTCATTTGAGAAATAAGTAAAAACTCTAGCCTTGGAGTGACATGTCCCTCCAGGTGGTAACAATTCTCATAAATTCAATTAGTTACCCACTGGCACATTCCCGAAAGCACCGGGAGGCTGAACACAACGCCAGTGCTCCTGGACACAGGGCCCTTCCTCCTCGGGACTCAAGGGCACCGTCAGAAACACACTTCATGATCCCTCGCTCACAGGAGCAGATGGGTCTCCTCACCACCCGCCCTCCTGGGAGGGGAGGGGCTGCACCCCTGTATGCCAGGTCCAGTCCCTCCCCTCTTTCCACCTCACTTTTTTCTAGGATTTTGTTCCTTATCAAACGTATAGGATAAGGAACAAAACATCTCTACAACATCCTTAACCTCCTCCCGTCTACGGGCCTGAGTCCAGACCCAGGTTCTTCTGTTTGCAGACACCCTGCCCACCTGTGGCCCTGTGGAGCAGACCTGGAAGTGTCCCCATGCCTGCCACCCCTCCCCACTAGCAGCAGCCGTGACATTTGTTCCGTTGGACTCTATCCGCACACTCAGAACTTTGATGTAGTGAAGCAAAACAAGGAAATGCCACTCCTTGCCACGCTGACTGCTTCTGGGGCGGGCTCCCAAGCCTATTTCAGTCCGGGCAGGGCCTCTCTGCCATGGGGTGTGCTCTGGAAGTCTTTCCTCAGGGACGGCAGCAAAGAATGTAGAGAACTAAGGAGGTTTATTCTTGCTTTCAAGCTTCAAAAGTCCAGGAAAGAAAAACAGGAAGGAAGGGAGGAAAGGAAGGAAGGAGGGGAGGGAGGGAAGGAGGGGAGGGAGGAAGAAAGGAGGGGAGGGAAGGATGGAAGGGAGGGAGGGAGGGAGGGAAGGATGGAAGAAGAGGAGGGAGGGAGGAGGGGAGGGAAGGAAGGAAGGAGGGGAGGGAGGGAGGGAGGAGGGGAGGGAAGGATGGAAGGGAGGGAGGGAGGGAGGGAGGGAGGGAGGGAAGGATGGAAGAAGAGGAGGGAGGGAGGAGGGGAGGGAAGGAAGGAAGGAGGGGAGGGAAGGAAGGAGGGGAGGGAAGGAGGGAAGAAGAGGAGGGAGGGAGGAAGGAGAGGAGGAGGGAGTCGGAGGACTGGGCGAAGTCAGGCGACCCCGTGCAGTTGTGCAGGTTGTGTGCTGCACGCCCCAGGGAGAGAATTCCCACAGACTGTGGCAGGGCAGGTCACTGTCCCAGGTGAGACCTCCTGGAGCCCATGTAAGGATTCCAGGGGATGAGCGATAAAGAGTTGGAGGGGGAACAGAGGACAAAGAATGAACCTGCTCCCTACCACGTGGGAGATGAGGGCAGAGAAGCACCAACACTCACCCAGGGCAGTTCGGGGACTCTGAGAACAAAGGGACACTTGCACCTGAAATGATGGGAAGTAAGAGTTTAACTGGCAGCATTTTTCTTCCTTGGTGGAACTTGAATTCAGTGGTACACTTACAACTGAGGGCATCTTAAATTAGTCAGAATATAATCTGTGCAGCCACACATTGGATGAGTTCACCAGAGGAGCAAGTGTTGGCAAAGGAAGCAAGTACTGAGCTCTGGGGCTCTACAGCCTCAGGGGGTCGGGGCTGAGGAGGAGCCAGCAGAGAAGGGGTGGGGGCGGGGCTGTGGGGATCAGGGGCCAGCGACGGGGGAGGAGAGAGCCAGGAGAATGTAGCCCCTGGAAGGCAAGGAAAGAAGGTGCTTTCGAAGGATAGAATGAACACCTGTATAGTCGTCCCTGAGGGGCCACGTGTTGGGGACTGGATTTGGCAAGGGGGTCCTTGTTGGAGAGGAGGTGCGAAGGTCTGAAGAGAGTCTGGAGACGAAAGTGGAGAGAGAAACCAGACAGTGAGAAGAGACACTGCTTTCTAGAAATGGGACTGTAGCTGGTGGGGCCTGTGGGGTCAAGGGAAATTTTCTTCTTTGCTCATCTGTGTACTTACTGATTGAAATGACTTAGTCTGGAGGGAAAAATTGGTGATGCACGATAGAGTCCTGGGTGAGCTAGAAGGAGGAGCCAGACCCCCTGCCACGAGGGAGGGCTTGGCACTGGGGACAAAGAACCCACAGCCAGGACAGGACATTGACTAAGCAGGGACAGGCCAATCTGTGCATGTTGTGTGTGCTCTTGTATATTTCATCATCCTTAGTAAAAGACAAGTAACATCAATTTTAAAAATGTAATGGCGAGCAGTACACAAATATAATATTCTTATGATTAAACCTTAAAATATCACAGCTAAAACTAAAGCCCCCGTTGGTGGGGAAGGGGCGCTCTTCACCAGAGATGTGGGGACACATCAGGGAAATGAGGAAGGCAGGGTTTGAGGAAGTGGAGGGGAAGTAAGTGTTAGTAGGAAAGGAAAAGAAATACAAGAGAGAGGCCCCAGTTGGAGAGTGGATCAAGCCCTGTT